AGACAGACAGACAGACAGACAGACAGACAGACAGACAGACAGACAGACAGACAGAGACAGAGACAGAGACAGAGACAGAGAGAGAATGACAAAGAGGCACACAGAGAGGGAGAGAGAGGAGGGGGGAGAGGGAGAAAGTTGGGGGCGATGTCTGGCCTGAGACAGAAAGTGTATTAAATAACTGTTTATTTGTAAACAATTGTAATACAAAATATTCATGAATTAGCCAAGGTATCTGTAATAGATTCTGTGACGTGCTTGATAGGGCTTTTAAAAAAAGGAACTTAGCTTACAGAGAACATTCCTATCAACACCCCACCCCACCAATTTAATGTATAGCACACATCCATTTAACCTTCTGTGACCGCAAGGAGCACCGACGACTGCAGCTGGAACATGCTATGTTGTCCCTCGTTTGCCGCCTTCATGGACACAAGGGCAGACTCCTTGGCGAACTTGTAGGCCTTGAGCTGAAAGAAGCAGTTGGCGATCTCGTGGAAGAGGCGTGCGGTCTCCTCCGTGTCTCGGGGAAGATGAGCACGTTTGGCAAAGCTGGGGATTGACAGGATTGTTTCTTTTTTGTCAAAGTTGAGAGTGATTTCTTTGTTAAGGTTGCAAGTTATAGTATGTTTTTACTTAAGTAAAGCATATGCAGATTTGGTTAAGTAATCAAGAGTATGTTTTAATTTTAGATTAATGTTGCAAGCAGTGTTTTAGTAAAAGTTATACGAAATGCTCGACATAAACATTAGCCAAATCAAAGATGGATTATCTGGAAAGTAGAGATGAAATTATAAAGAAGAAGGAAATCAGATAATTCACTGTGACTGATTTTATGTTTTGTACTCCTAATGACACAAGAAGGATTTATAAAGGAGGGGTTATTTGAGTCTACCTGCAATGGTCAAGCCGAGTTGAACGAGATACAGAGTCTCCGCGGAAAGAATGGGATACAAAATATTTACCTCCCCTCGTTGAAATCGAACTTACGTGTTCTGCATACAATGGTTAAAAACAAAGTATTGTATCACATACGCTGTCACCCCATCCCGACCCCCGTATTCCCCCCTTTTCTTCACGTATATCCACTTTGCATTTCCTGTTATCTTCCAGCCACTGTTCCAACCGTCCGAGGGATATATCTTCTAAGTTTTCTTGTACTGTTTCTCTGCAGAGACAAAATACCCCCCCCCCCTTTTTCTTTCCCCAAAGCAACCACACTCGACTCTTACTTTCCATCTGTCTACCTCTCCACATTTTAATCAATGACGTATACTCACTATTCCAAAGCCTTCTCGTGTCTGTTCTCAAAGATGTACGTACGTCCTAAGTGTTCTAGAGCTCTTGACTGTATCCGGGTATTCAGTCTGAAGAGAACAGACAGAAAGAAACGATTTATTAATGTTGTTTGGGTTGCTATCTGTTTAGATCAGTGTGTGTCAACCGTTTTTATTTTTATTGCCAGCGCCCACTTTTGCCACGGTTGATATACCAAAATTGTATACCCTCCACTTTCATGTATTTCTAAGCTGGGCATTAAGTAATGCCTGTTTCTACCAGGGTGATCACCAACGCCCACTAACTTTACTTGGTTTACCAAATCACCTGCTGGTGTGTGACATCGCCCAGGTTGGCAAGCACTGATTGGGATAGATAACAGTGTGAAAGCAAGTGACTGTGAAATATGGGCCGAGGACTTGGGGAAACGGGCATCAAAATCAGGATATTGCCATACAACAACAGTGGTTAGGCTCTCGGACTCGCAACCGTAAGGTCGTGGGTTCGAATCTCGTCAGGGACCCGACGTTGTGTCCTTGGGAAAGGCACTTTTAGTAGTAGTAGTAGTATAAAGTTTTACGGCGCTCGCAACTGCGTAAGGTCATATGAGAGCGCGAAACACAAGTTGGTCTTGTTCACAACAGTTCGCTGTACGGCTGGCTCGGGTCAGTAGTTAAATCTTAAAATGTTTAAAAATCAGTGTAAATATACATATATTTTCAATCTAAAACAATTTTTTCTAGTTGACATAAAATTTTTTAATACTACAGTTTTACTTTACAATTTGCCATAAAGGCCAATGGCCTTCATAAAATTCAAAATTTTGCTGGGACCAACGACGGAAAAAACG